CTTTACATAACTTTAACTCTGCTATACCCAAGCAACAAGCTAGAATATTTTACTTTAAGTTGAGAAATAATAAAATCTATCTAAAGAATACAGATTGACTTATTATTTCAAAGGATAAAGCTTTGAGAATACAAATTCTAGAAGAATACTATGATATTTTAATTATTGATCATGTAAAAATTAATAAACTTATAATAATATAATATATTCTAAGTTATAAGAATGTTAAAGAAATAAAACAATAACCAATCACTCTTAGAACTTCTATAACTCTTAAAAATATCTGAATAATACTAAAAACAAGTTATTATGAATTTTATTATGCAATTATCAATTACTTATCAAGATTATAATACAATTCTTATTATCATTAATTATCTTATTGAATATGCATATTTTATTTCTACTCATATAATTATTACTGCTTTTAAAGTTGCTAAATTATTCTTTAATAATATCTTTAAACTATATGAATTATCTTGCATTATAATTTCAAATCATAATATTAAATTTACTAGTTGTTTTTGGAAGATTCTCTTTGAATAAATTGATACTAAGTTAGCTGCATTTTTTTCATATTCTGACAGATAAATAGAAAGAATAAATTATATATTAGAAAAAATATTATAAATATATTTTATATATAATCAGAATTACTAGAATAAATATCTTGTTATTACTAAATTTAGTTATAATAATTCTATATAAAATATATATCTTTTGAGTCAAACTATTATAATTAATATTCTATTATATCTTTAATACTTATCTTAAATAATAAAGTTGTTATTACTTATAAATTTGTTTAATATTAAAATAATATAATTAAAAATATTAAAGACTTAAGAATACATGATTATCAATCAAAATATATTAATTAATATTATTATTATCAAAAATTTAAAATTAAAGATCAAGTTCTATTTTTAACTTATAATATAATTAATCTTATAGATAAGAAATATTCTAATAAAAAACTTATATTAAAATATATTAGATCTTTCTTTATTATTAATATTATTTTACTTATTATATATAAATTAGATTTTTCATTATATATAAAAATATATTTTGTATTTTATATTTCATTATTAAAGTTATATAATTCTAATAATAATGAAGAATTTATTTATTCAATATTATTATAAGTTATAATTATATATAAAACTAAGAAAGAAAAGTATAAAATTAAATTAATTTTAAATAAAAGAATTATCTATAACAAATCTTAATACTTAATTAATTAGATTACTTACTTTATAATACTATCTAAGAACTCTTAAAAAATCTTTATAATATTATAAAGCTTATAAATCTTTTGATTCTAAATGTTAATTCTTAAGAAAGAAGATATATAATAAATTTAATAGTTAGTTTATAAATTATTATTACACTTACTATATTATAATTATCTGATTTATATTAAGACAAGTTATATAATAACTTGAGTAAAAGATATTCATAATAGAATTTTTTTTGTTTTTATTTTACTAAAATAATTAGATATATTATACTTTTATATTTATTATTTATAATTATTTATTATTATATTTATATATTAATAAGTATCTTCTAAAAATACTATCATATAAGTAATTATATATTAATAATTATTATTTATTCATATAACTTTAATTTATTTATTTAAAGATGCTATTTTTATCTTGCATTTTTAACAATCTATATTTATAATCAAGAATTAAGTTTTAACTATAATAATCTGTTTGTCTTTGACTTGACTTTTTATGTAAATCTCTTGTTAATACTTTTACTATTATCTTGATCTTTTGTATAAATTTCTTGATAATTTATATCACATAACAGAAAACAGGAGCTATTGAATTTGTGTGAACTCTATGAAATTTTCAAAAAATTATGAAAATATTAAAAATTTGATATTTTTTTATTATAATCTCAAGAAGAATATATTGAAAAAAATATAATTATACTTATAAAATATCTGATAAAATTTATAAATACTATAAAATTTTTCAAAAAATTATCAAAAATATTTTTTATTAATATGTTTTAAATACTTTAAAAATATTTTAAGAAATAATTTTTAGCTTATTATTAATTATTTATTATTTTGATAATAATAATACTAAATTATTTATAATTAATTTTTATTATATTACTTTAAAAAAATTCTGACTTAAATAATTAATAAATTTAAAATTATAATTTATAAAAAAACTTAAAGTTAATTTAAATAATAAAATAATTAATATCTTTAACTTATATAAATTATTAGAGAATAATAATTTTTTAAAGAATTTGAATAATTTTATATTAATAATAATAAATTATTATTTATAATTTTTCAAATTTATATAATTTTATCAAGATTTAAATTTATTTTATAATTATATATTAATAATAAGTAGAGAATCTTTTTAATAAATTAAATTTAAAACTTATTTAAATATATTATTATTATTTAAATAATTTTAATTTAATTTATTTTTAAGTAAAATTAATAAAAATTTTATAAAAATTTAAAGAAATATAATCAAATTTTTCTATATTTATTATACTTAAAAAAATTAAATAATTAAAAAAAGATATAATTATAAAAAGATTTTTTTTAATTATAATTAATAACTAAAAAATAATTATAAAAATATAAATATAATTATAAAGAAATCTAATTATAAAAATAAATTAAAAGTAAAATTCACTTTAAAAAATATATTTATTATAATTTGAATTTTGAAATAACTTCAAATCTTTTTAATAATTTACTATATTAATTTTATTAATATTTTTATAATAGCAATAATAATTTATTATTATTATTAAAAATCTTTAAAAATAAATTTTATATAATATTATATATAATTTTAATTTATATAATATATTAATATTTTAATAATATATATATATACACAATTAAAATTAAATTAATTAAAAATAATATATAAAATTACTAGTCAAAATATAATTTTTTTGTAAATTCTAATTAGTATTAAATATATTTTTGTAAAGATATGTGAAAAAATTTACTAATAATTATTAATATTTAATTTTTTAAATACAAACTCATATATTTTTATATTAAGATATAAGTATTAAATATTAATTATTGAAAATGCTTCTTATATTTTTTCTTCATCTTATTTTAATATATTATATATACTTACAAAATTAATTTCAGATATATTAGAATATTCTTGAAAATTTTAAATAATAATAAACTTTAAATACTATTAAATTTTAACTAAATTTAATAATTTTTTGAATAGATTACTATTAAAATAAATATAAATATATAGTAATAATCAAAAGTAATATAATTCAAAATTGAAAATTATTAAATTATAATATATTTATAAATAGCTAGCAAAATTTAATAAAATTAATTCTTTTATTATCTTATATATTAATAAAAAATAGTATGAATAATATATTTTAATAATATAAGTAAGTCTGATCATTTACAAATAATAATCTATCTTATTACATCTTATAACTATTTTACTATCATTATCATTTAAAATCATCTTTATAAACTGAAAATATTGAAATTTCAGAACATAATATTTATTATATACTAAAAAAAATAGTTTAATAATAAAAATAAAACAAAAAAACTATATCTGAAATTTAAGATATTTAGTTTGATAAATATAAGTTTCAGATTTTAGAAATTAGTATTATTAGAAAAGAATAGATGAGTCATTAAAAAGTTATTATATTAAATCTATGTTAAAATTTAGTGATAGAAAAGTAATGGTATGAAGTTATTTTATCTTTCATGATATTAGTAACTTTTATAAGATTAATGAGAACATGAATAGCATATTATATTAACAAATTCTTGAAGATCTTATGAATATTATCAAAGAACATGGATTAGCTGTCAACAAGATCATTTTTCAACAGGACAATAATCCTAAATATACAGCTAATTTGATGAAAGAGTGATTTGATAATAATAATAATATTACTGTTTTAGATTGGCTGGCACAATTATCTGATCTAAATCTAATTGAACATTTATGAAATGAAATAGATTATTATCTTTGGTGTCTTCCTAGATTAATTTCAGATATGGAAGACTTATGAGAAAAAATACAGCTAGTTTGGAAGGAAATTGGTGTGAATTATTGCACAAATTTAATTCATTTTATGCTGAAAGGATTTGTGATGTAATAAAAGCATATGATAGTTATACTTGATGGTAGTATATTGGGTATAGTTAAAAAATAAAAAAATATGATATTTTTATTTTATATTGAGGGTTATACAAATTTATATTAAAAACAAGCAAATATAATACAACACTAAAAATTGAATAATGTTATGATTGTGACATAATTGGTTTAATAGTCCACATTGAATTTATTATATTTAAGTTATTTGCATATACATAATAAATCTATCAACTATAATTTGATGTTCTTAAGTCTGTGCAAAGATATCGCGATTTAACAATTCTCAATTTTGCGTTGCATTACTTTGATCGCCACTGTATATATAATTTATATTCAAATAAATATTAAAAAATAAATATCCGTATATATTAAAAATGCTTATAATAACTGTTTTGGATTTTTCTAACACACACATACCTCTTCAGGAAGTTCTTCATCAATTATTATAAAATATTCTGCCATTTTTATTTTTTAGACGCGTCTTTTTACAGTTCAGTAAAGATCATTATGCTTGTAGTTCATTATATATACATGTACTTAGAAATTATTTAATGTACTGTACTAATTTTATTATACATGTATATATTTTAACCGAAATGAATTGTTATGATAACTATATTTACATGGTGTTAAATGTTAAGGATATTATTACGAGGTGTGGGACATTTAATTACCGCGAAGTATTCTCGAAGCGTCAAATGTTCATGATACATGTAATCATCATGTTTTTACAATTGACCATCCCAAATACAGTCGCGATCTTCACGATAGGTAGAAATTAAGGATTATGGAATTTATTGTTACTGCGGTAACATTATCATCAACTTTAGTATTCACATGTAATTAGTTTTTAGGATCATCATATATTTGGAGTATTGTGGTAAAAGAAGATACAGACATTTTTCTATTAGGTAAAGAACTTGATTGAGAATTTAATGAGAAATTTGAAGGTAATTTAATAAGAAGAAACGCTTTTGACCGAAAAATTGAATGATCAACACAGAAACGGTTGCGCTATATGAATAATAATAATAAGGAGTTCTATAATTAGAAAAGGCATAAGAAAGTAATTATCAAATTATTATTTCATAATTTAATTACCCTACAAACAGTTTTTTCAGTAGTCGAATTCCCATATTCCCAAGTAATTCCTGTGTCTAGTTCGCTATTAAATTCAATAAACAACCTTTTGATAGCACTAGTTAACTAGAATAACAATATTAAGTAAGAAGTTACGAGATTAGGAGAAACATAACAATAAATTTTTCATAAAATAAATATATTACCTTATCATTAAGAGTTACAATACGAAACCACATCCAGAAAATACTAATAATTCCCACTACTATAATAAGATAGATGAAAACCCAACGAGAAGCATTTTGTGACAATTCAACATTTCCGCTGATCTTATTATGTTTATATGAAAGAAGATAAAAGAGCACCAACATGCAGAGTCCTATAATTGTAAACAGATGCAGGATTAAAAATTTTTTTAATGTTGTTTTACGATGCCTTTGCCACAATTCGTTGAATCTTTGCACTTGAGTTTTATACACGTCTTCTTGCATCTATTGAATCATATAAATAAATTACACAGTGGTTATAAATGTGTATTTTTATTGAATTGTACTTACAAAATTTATGAGCTTTGCTGGTAGATTTTCATCCTTTATACCTTTTGCGTAAATGGGAATACGTAGTTCAGCATCTGAAGACATATTGATTTATCAAAAGCTTTTCGTCAATTAAAGAATATAGGATAAATATTGACTTTTTCTTTTTGTTATAACAAAAGCAATATGTTAACCGGTCATAGCAGTATTTATATTATGTATTTTCCTTGTAAAAAATCTAAAAATAATTTTATTTATTTTTAGCTATCTAAATAGAAATTTTTGATATAGGTAAGCGTAAATTTAAGCTATAAATGACAATATTTTTCTCCAATTTATAATAATTTTGACTTGGAGAAATGTATGCACCTCGGACGCATTTTTAAACATATTTATTTATGGATAACTCATGACCGAAATTTTTTTTAGATCTATTTATGGTTAACTCGGCACTTTACTTTAGCTCCATTCTTGTTGTCTATTTATAAACTAACTCATGACCTTACGATTATCATGAGATTGTGCTTAACCGAATTGTATTACATTTATTAGTACATGTAATAAATTATTGCGAAGCAATTTTCAGATTCCTCAGGAATAATAATAAATCACATATTTCGATTTGAACCATATTATTGATCTTGACGGACTTCTTTTCAAAATTATAAAGTCAATTGGTACGATCTTTCTATTAAAATAAAGCAAATTCGAATTCAAGTACATATGATATTGCAAAGTTCTGATATTATCGTTACTCTTTGTGAACAATACGCATACGGGCGGGCAATTGCTTGATTACATAGTGTATTGGTCACAAATAATCTCCTCTATCAGAAATTCCTATAACGTACATTAACGAATAATGGGATTTCTTTAACAAAGTTAATGAATTTTTGAATATGAAAGATTGCATACATTTAAAAACCTCTATTATGAAAATTATAAGTAAATTTTATTGTTATGCAACTTAATTTAACGTTAATAGACAAAATATTTGCAATCATATATGTTTCTATTAAAAGAAAAGCAACATACGAAACCTTTAAAAAAACTGTGTCATATGCTAATGCAATAATATACAAATAGCAATCATGGCAGCAACCATAAAATAGAATCAAATTCAACTAGCATAATATAATGTAATTAATTTCTTTCATTTGTGCTTCCGCTTCTTCTTTATTAGCAGGATTTTATCCGGGTGTCATTTTAACGTTAGCTTCCGATAAGCGTTTTTAATTTCTAATTCAGAAGCGGTGGCTGCTAAACCTAAAAGTTGATATGTAATACAATTTAATTGACGATTATAAATAGCTTAATGTAAAAGAGCTTTGAGGAAATGTGATATGTTTTTTAAATTTATGAGATCAAGCAAAATGAACAGATTATAATTCTTTCTTGTAAGGCAGCAGGAAACAATAGACGCCTAATTTAAAATTCAATATATTGAGTATTTTATACTGAGATACGCATAAAATCCACTTAGGTATAATAGTGAAAATTCTTAACATTAAATATTAAAACCTGCAAGCATTTCAGTTTTCAATTGCCCTGCATTTTAATGGAATTTCGGTCTAAACTTGAAACCAAGATCGGTAAGATTTCGATTGTGGGATCCCTTGTCCGGGTGTCTTACAGCTTGTTGACATATAGGATTGGTGATTCTTAATCAATGTAGTCAGCTGGACATTGAATCACTGGATTTATAAAACCTATAAGTCCAGCCAGTCTAGTGAAATTTAATAAACGGACTTAGTTCGATCATTGCGAACGGGTCAAATGGTTATCATCTGGACAAGTTTTTTATCACCTTCCTCGCAAAACTGTAAGTCTTGGCGTGAGAAAGGTAAAGTATATGGGCTTACCCAAGATGACAGCATCTAAACGGAAACCATTCTCATTGAAAATGAATCCGAACTAGGAGAGACTTAAATAGTTTAATTATAAATATGAAAAACTAAACCAAGAAATTAAATAAAAAAATTCCGAACTTTAGATAAAGAATTATTTGTATTGAGACGGTTCCTGATGAAAGGTTTCTCATACCTTTCATCCTATTTAATTAAATGAGCACTGAAAGGTTTCTCATTCCTTTCATCCTATTTAATTAAATGAGCACACATCCAGAGAACTATAGCGAAACTTGATATGACGGATGAGATCCTGAGAACATTCCAAAATCTGTTATAACGAAATTTAAAGCCATATATAAAATAGGATTTATTATATAGTGTCTTACCAAAGAAACGGAACACAGAAAAAAAAGGCGAAATGTCATTGAATTATGCACGACCAAAGTAAATGGATTTTATTCATCAAAGTAATAATAATTAAATATAATTCTTATTTTCATCTATCTTTTGCTTCACAAGCTAATATGACAGATCTTGTACATCTATTAATATTTTATCATCACAAAATAATGTTATAGCCTCTCAGAATTTTATGAAATATTAAATATCATGATCAAGATTGCTAAAGATTTGCTACTAGAAGCATAAGAAAGATAAAGTAAATACATAAATCAATATAGAAGATATGAAGAATTCAATATTAAAGATAAAGTTCTTCTCTCTACTCACAATATTGATACTTCAGTTAACAAATAAAGAATAATTAAGAAACTCATATCAAAATTCATTGGATCCTTTGAAGTTATCACCAAAATATCTTCTGTCACTTATAAATTATAATTATAAAACTTCATCCAGTCTTTTATATTTTTTTACTAAAGAAGTATAATTCAGATAATGAATACAATAGACATTAACTATCATTAGCAATCATTATCTTTGATAACAAAGAAGAATATAAGATAGAAAATATTCTTGATAAAAGAATTTATTATTATAAACTCCAATATCTTGTTAAATAACTCAGTTATTCTTTCTATAATATAACATGAAAATCTCTTGACAACTTAAAAAATATCATGAAAAGATTAATATCTTTGAGAAGTTATACACTTAAATATAACAAGAATATTATATTTTAAGTAGAAGAATATATAATATTTTAATTAGATTATTACTCTTTAACTCAGATCTTTATTTTGTATTATTTATATAACAGATTAATTTCTGTATTACATTTTATAAAGATTAATTTTACTCTAGATATACAGATAATCATCTATATATTTAATATATTAGATTTAATATATTATTATATAAATAATTATTATGTGTATTTATATTATTAATTTAGATAATTAATATTTTTAATTAGATTTCTTTTTAATATTCTTTTATAATTTTACTCATTCTTCTTATTATTATATTTATATTATTATTTATATTATTATTTATATTATTATTAATTATTGAATTATAATTAGTTATCTTTTAGAGATATAAATTAAGTTAATTAATTTTATTCAATCATATATATTCTATTTATAGATTTATTATTAATTTATCCATATTTTATATTCATTTATTTTTTATAAATAAGATCTTTCTATTTTGTAATTTTTTTCAGATCTAAATACTTTTAAATAATAAAAATAATTATAAGTTATAAAATTAAAAACTATTTATATTATATTTTATCTTATTTATAATCATTAATAAAATAATTTTACAACTTGATAGTAGTGGATATGATTATTACAAAGATCACTTTCTAATATCTTACTACATATTACATATTATATACACTTCACATATATACATCTTAGTTTTAAATTTAGTAAATTTTAGTAAAGATGAATATAAAATAATTTATATAATTTATGAAAAATATAACTAAATTAATCAAGATAGTAAAAAAAGATAATCTTTCTGATTCTAAACCTTTATCTCACCTCTTAGTTAAATTATCTATATATTTTGAAGAACTAAATAAGAATATTCTTGTCTGAATAATGCAAGTTAAAACTATATTTCTGGCTCAAGAAATTATTAATAAGAAGACTCAAGTATAATATGTAATAATTTCCTTGACTAAAGCAGTATTATACTGATATCTTAATAAATATAAGACTAATAACTATGTAACTTCTTTAATAAATTGAGATATTTTTATTATAATACTTAGAAAAGTATTTTAATTATCTTATTATTAATAATATCTTCACAAATAACTTAATCTTCTTTATCAAACTGAATCTGTACAAAACTATGATATCAAATTCAAAAATATAGTTGGTCAAGTTACAGATATGAGTGATTTAAATCAAGTTACATACTTTATAAAAGAACTGAAATCTGCTATCAAAATAGAAGTTAATTATCAAATATCAGAAATTTTAGAAGTAACTTAGAAATTAGTAATTAAATATAATATTACTATATATAAACAAGATAAATCTCTAGATTTTTCAAGTTGATATAATAATAATAGTTATCATTTATAAAACTAATATAAAAATTATCAGAATAATAGTTCTATATTTATAGAATTAGATCAGATAGAGAATTATTATAATAACAGAAAGAATAATAATAATCAAAAAAATAATAAGTTCAAAGGTACATATTATAATTATGATAAACCAGATTACTTTATCAAGAATTATTATTTTAAATCAAAGATCAAGATAGTAAATATAGAAGACAAGCAAGAAGAATCTTCATAATTATATAAGAGAGTCAAGTTTGCTTATTTAAAAGATAATAAAAAAAGATTATTGAAGTTTAATAGTCAAGTAAATGATAAATTAGCATGAATTTTACTAGATAGTAGTATATCAAGAAACTTTATTAATAAAAAGTTTATATAAAAGAATAAAGTAAAACTGCAAAAGATAATACTAATAATAGTTAAACTTACTAATAGCAAGAAGATTACTACTATTATTATGATAAAAATTAATAAACTGAAGTTAAATATTATAAAATGTATAAGATAAATATATAGATATTAAAATTGCAGAGATATAATCTCATTCTAGATAAATCTTTATTATTTCATGTTATTACCATAGTAACATAAATTTCTTTAATTTCATAATTTTTTGAACTTGAAAAATTTAACTAATTAATTAATCTTTAGAAGATATGTGATTTCAAATAATATAATTAGTATATCAGTTATGGATTTAGTTATGATTTAATAATATTTTTGTAATATTCTTGTAATATTTTTGCAGCATTCAAAGATTATTA